CTAGGCGTATTTTCGCGCATTGCGACACTCCCTCGATCAAAGCCATGCCAATGGATGTTTTCTACTAGGTGAATTTTAGCCTTCCTCAAGTCTAGACGAACCGAAACACGAAACCGAATGCAAGGACGAGTACCAGCGAGTGGAGGAAAAATAGAGGAATTGTTCGCAGATGCAGCTGGTTTCTCTGCATGCCTGAAGGTTTTAAGCGATCTCTGGGTTATAGGTGACAGGCGAACAGACGCACTTCTTCCGGAAACACTCATGCTTACTCCAAGAAATCATACGTCACGCGCGAGGCACAGGTCAGACTGTCTTCAAGCGGCATCATCGTGTCTGTTGGTCGAGGCTTGTCACCATGGCTGCATCTTCACAGTCGTTGCTGAACAAATTCGGCATGAAATCTTCAGGTCTCCGCGAACGGTCTTGCTCAGGTATATACTAGGTTTATCTTTTTGTGTTCATACGCTGATCGGGGTCTTTTCTTCTTCCAGGTCCAATCTCATCCAGCTCGCGCTCTACCGAGAGCTTGGCGGTATATCGATGGGCAAAAGGACCGAGTGGAGGAACGATCACAGGTCCGGTATGATGGAAAACTTTTGTCTGGCATGTCAATAGCATCGAGTGTATTATGTCGGATGAGTGTTCTTCCTTCACAGCCAAGTGCGACATATAATCTCTGTGAGTCCAGCTTCAGAGCTACCATACCAGTTCAGGGTGTCGTTGTGTATGCCACATGGCTCTGTGTTAGTATATTAGTGCTTGGTATCCGGATTGAGCAAACGTAAGTATGTAGTCTTGTCTATTGTGTTTAGTTTTAGTATACATATATCAGTTCAAAAGATTCGAGGATCATCCCTATCTGGGGACCCGCGCTCAACTCCGGTTCCTTCTACTACAAACATTATATGGTATGCCAAGATATGCTACAATTTTCAAGTGATCTTTGGACTAGCTCTCAAGGAACCAACGAAATCATGCCCCAACAAAGGGATGAGTTTGTCCGGTAGGCCATATGTCCCACCTGCGAATCTCTTTAAATTAATAGACCGGCATGACATAAGCGGTGAGATTCCAGAGCATAGCACTGACGGAGCTGGCGTTCTCTTCGCAGATCATCGTGTTGTTGTCCTTCCAATACGGGCGCGATGGCCAGGTGCAGATCTTCTGAACTTCGCCCTCATTGGCGCCAGACTGCACGGTGGCGTTGATAGTGGTTGGCACGACACTCTCCTCTACCCACTGAATCAAGTGGGCAAAGTTGTCGCGCGGGAACCCGGCGTTGGGCTGCTCATCGTTGGTGGCGCAGTGGGCAGCGCCCGGGACCAGGTAGAACCGATACCAGTCGTTCAGCTGCTCGTTGCCCTCCGCAAACGAGAGGTCCGGATACAAGACCTTGCGGACCGATTCATGGTAGTGGATGGAGCCAGTCGGAGGTACACTGCTGTCTGCCTCGCCGTGGAAATGCAGCAGGCGGCCTCCCTTGGAGTGGAAGGGAGTCAGGTCTGGCAAGGTGGTTTGAAGAGAGTCCATATAAAGGGTCATGCCCTCGATCATCCAGGCCTTCAGGTCGTCGTTGGTCACACCAGTCAGGTCCAGCTCGGTGATGTTCTGCCAGTGGAGAAACTTGGTAACCCATTCGCCGTTCGAGTTGGGTGAAGTGATAGTCCATGACTCGGTAGTGCTGTCCCAGACGGTGGTATCACCGAAGCCGGCGGTCGGCTGAAAGGGGAAGTAGACGAGGTTGCCGTCGGAGTCTTTCAGTCCAGTCAAGAGGTCTTGAATCACCTCGATGTCTTTGGCACTGATGGTTCCGTTCTGCGCTGGAGTGACTGAGGCCGACTGTCTCTTTCTCCTCTTCCCGTACCCCAGCCCCAGACTGGCAGTAGAGCCCTCAGCACACGAGTAGGATTGGCCAAGCATGGTTGAGATGTTGAAGTTCTGGAAGCACAGGTCGCTGCGCGCGACCACTCCGTCTACCTTGCCGTCCATGCCATCACAGGCGTTGATGGTGGCGTTGATAACCGTCTCAAACACGCACGACGGAGGATAATAGCCCATGGTCTGAATCTGCACTGGAGCAGCGATGTGGTTCACCTGCTGCTGGCCATAGCGCATGGCGGGGGCGCCCGCCACAATGCCGTCGTACAACTCCGGGGCCCGTTGTGCCTGGCTCATCGCCTCTCGTCCGCCTTCCGAACATCCGATGAAGTAGCTGTACAGCTTCGTGGTGTTCGTCCCGACGTTGAAGAAGTTGTTGGTCAAGGCCTTGCCGATCTGAGTCATCTCGGCTATGGCTTGATAACCCCAGTTATAGATGGCCGGCCAGTTCGCAGTACCGTTGCCCAAAATCACCACATCATCGAAGTCAGTGCCGCCCCAGTAGGGAAAGCCTCCATCTGTGTAGCCGGTGGCGGCGCCAAAGGCAACGCCGCCCGCCATGTCGGCCCCTCCGGAGCCGTTGTTGATGGTATAGGCTGCACCTCCTGTGGCCAAGAATCGGTTGGCGAAGCTGTCCGGGGCTGGCATCCAGTACTGTACCACAATCCGATCATCCCCGTTCTGGTGGTGGTAGGCAAAGGACACCTCGCAGAAGTTGATGGTCATGTCCTCCCAGAAGATCGCATCGGAGACGGAGTAGTTGCGGTAGATACTGGCAGTCACTGAACTAGTGTCGATGGTAATGCCAGAAGGGATGTCATCGCTCGAATTTGGCAGGACAGAGGTCACATAGTCGGCTGTGCAGACACTGCTCAGCGACGAGGCAGTGGCGACGCCAAAAAGCGCAGCCGCAAGCACGCCGTACATGCCGAATTGTACTCGAGATAGCAAGGTGGGTAGTAAGGTAGATCGGTAGTGAAAGGCTGAGTAGATTGCTTGATAATTGCTCCTGGATCAGGTAGTGAAGCAGGGCATTTATACTTGCTTCAATCATCTTTCGATCCCGTTGCTTGGTGCACATACCAACAATTTAATGAACATACGTACGTCCACCGTGGACGATTACGTATACTCCACAGTTTGCTTCTGCTATAAGGAAAACATGAACAAGCATCACCATTAACCCTAGAGGGAGATAACGATCCACTGTCCCGGAAGGATCTATGGTATCCGTTCATAGGCACAGCTTGTTGCATTGGGTACACCTCCAGAATTACTAGGGGGTATTTCTCGAGCTCGCCCCTCGAGCTTATAAAAGGGCCCGTGTTCACAGTATGTTCAATCCTCTCTCCTTGGGCCAGAGCCATAAATCCTGCATCCTTCCCTTGCCATGCTAAACCTCAGTATCGATGACGGATGGTTTCAATCCCTAGGATATATGCCAAGGGCCGAATCGTCGAGCGTACGTGGCACGGGAATGGTCAGAGCACCACGGCTGATTGGCCCGTCGGGATTTAGTCCTTGGGAACTCGGGGTTAATCTTTTAGCTGGGTCGGCCTATCGGCCCTATCGGCCCTATCGGATCTGGATGCTTGACATTGACTAGGTATCGGAGAATAGGCCGAGAGATTCAAGGAAATGAAGCCTGCTAACTTACTAGTCGCACCTGCCAAACCGCTGATCGGCAGGGAGGTGGGTGGAGGCCGTGCTCGATTCCTGTTTTGGCGGTTTCATGCAATCAGCTCTCAAGCACCCAGTTGGACTTGTATCGTAGCAGATTTCATTTCAGCAGGATCGTTATTTTAGTTGCCCGCGGCCACAAGAATTCCGATCCAAGAAGTCTCCTGATGCTATTACGAAAACTCACAGTGTACTTAGACGGATACGACATGATCAAGCAGCCTTACTAGCGCGGTAGTAGGAGGGAGATTGCTCAAGATCTTTAGCATCACTCAAGCTTTAACCTATCGTAATACAATCTTGATCTCTTGCACATTCAATGGGAGTCCGAGGCTTAAACTGCAACTTCCTGCCACAGCCGTGTGATTTCAGTAGTCCTTCCATTGAGCCTGGTTTCCAATACCCATCCTACCATTCCATCAAGGTTAGGGTTTGTATTCTCTATCCAAAAAGCATTTTGATATCCCACGGGGAACAGACTTGTGATGGCCAGGCCTCAGTCTATGCATCGATTTATCTAACTGATAAAGGGGGTATGGTCTAAGGTATCGTGGGCGGTAGCACCTTCTCGGCGCTGCTTCGCCGTATCCAGCCCTCTTTCTCCCCAGCTCTTCAATTATTCAATGTGACAGTTTTCTGTCTTCTCGCAAACTTTTATAGATTCAGAAACATAAAGATGCATCATCGAATGTCAAGAGTCACGAGCCTCTGAGGGTCTTTTACCACTGAACCCAGCTCTGTTCGAAACACCCTGTGTTCAATGACAAAGATGCGTCTGTTTCGTGTGCTACCCCTATAGGTCATGGATCCCTTTACGGGAGGATGCTCGCTATGACTGCAACCAAAGCAGCCCCTGATCCAGAGGCTCTTCCCAAGGCCGACAACCGACGCGATCCCGAGACAAGGTTGAAACTTTCAAATTCAATATCGTGGTGGTCTGCCGTATTGTCGGGAAATGGATATGAGAAGTCGACGGTAGTGGAATGGCCACAGTAATCTTTTGGCTCGCCTTGCGAATCATCGTGTATCTGACTGCTTTTACTTTTATCGGGATCTAAACATAGGTATATTGTTACGTGGCTTTCCGGTCCCTTGATGTGCTATGTAAATCTTGGCTAACTTCCCTCAAACATTGCACTGACATCTTTCATCTCAATTGTGTCGTACGGTCGAAAGCGTGGTCGCACTCCTGATCTCAGCCATTCAAAGTCGGCTGAAAAAGACTGGACTATATCGTAAAAAGAGGCTAGTGGTCAGAACAGTGACGAAAGCATCCAAGGATTTCAGCCCTAAAGTGCTGCCGGCTGACTGCGGGCTGCGCGGGATGCCGATAAGATGGATGTGGGGTCGTCGCTCACGCCCCGCGGATGCCGAGTCTGGTTGGAACGAGGTGTGTTGTCTTGAGAGTTTATAACATTTCGACCAAGTCATAATAGTGGCAAGCTCGCTATATGAACATGAATACTGTCGAGTTAGAGGGAACTGATATGTTCAACCCATGCTGCAATAGTGCTGTCTGAAGAACACAGCAACAAAGCGAAGACGAAGCCAACAAAAGAGTTCTACTCCACATTGTCACCCACCGGCCGAGGACGTTGATTTATAATACAGCAATCTCGCTGTCAACCCTTTAATAAAGCTGAAGTTCCATATAAACCCACTCTCCACTACTCTTCTTACTGACACGCCTTACCAAAGCACCATGGCCGTACCCTCGATCCGCACAGGGGGGCTAGAGATTGCCTCCCAGGCAGCGGAGGTCATCTCCCGCTCCTTCACCACTTCCGTGCTCTCCTCCTTCTTTCTCCGGACGCCTACATCCACATGGCCAGGCACCCAGGTCCCCTACGAGCTGATCATCGAGCACTTCCGTGACGCAATCCCAGAAAAGGTTCGTCTGGGGGCCGTGCTGGCCGAGGCGGATAACTTTGCCGCCGTGGCTTTGTGGTACGATTCCTACAACTAACCTCCGCTCATGCTTACGACTAACGTGGGTGAATGCAGGTTCCCTCCCTCAGGGACAGAACACGGAGACGACGATGAGGCAAACGCGCGGATCCATCGGTATAGCCTGCAGGTGCAGGAGGTCAAGAACCGGTGGCTGCAGGGCCGACCGTATTGGTACCTGAACCTGATCGGTCGGGATCCCGGCCGCACGGAGAAAGGTGTGGTCCGAGCGCTGATTGATCCGTACCTACGCAAGGCGCAGGAAAGCCGAGTGCCGGTGTGGCTGGAAGCGGTGGACGAGCACAGTCGTGATGTTTATGCGCATTTGGGCTTCCGGGTCGTCGAGGAGATTCGGGTGGGGGTGGGCGAGTTCAATCCGCGGGGGGAGTTCGAGGCAGGTGGGACGGGGATTCCGTTATATGCGATGATGTCTGAGTAGGAAGCTGTCCTTGTCCTGTCCAGTTCGTTCGCCCAATTCTTCTCTCTCCACCTTTTCAACCCCCTAGGCCTTCGCCCCATCGATCTCTTCGCAAAGGCTTAAAAACTCTTAAATTCTTAACGACAGCTGGATTGTGGATCTCCCGTCGGCCTTCTGCCCTTCAACCAATAAGACTCCTCCGAGCTGATCGATCGCTTGTTTTTGCCGGTGCTCGTATCGACTGCAACTGGGGAAATTTCTACCGACGGCAGTGGACCTTCCTTGAAAAAGGGGCCTGTGTCTTGTCTGGTTTCTATCTCTGATGGGTTGTGTCTTCCTCTCGCTCCAAAAGCTGTAGGGAACGTCCGGATCAAGTCGCTCGTTTGACCTCTCCTGATCCTTCGTTGACCAGTCCTACACTCTTTCTTTCGCTGATCTCTCCTTCGCCTGAATAACCGTGTCACTTCTGACTTGTTTGTGTTCTTGACGTATTACCAGAATGAACACGATCCTCCGGAGTTCACTGCTGGCCCTGCTTGCAACCACCGCATCCGCGGTCGGCACGGGAGCCTGCACCACCAGCGTTCAGCAGGCTGTCCAGAATCCCTCCTTCGAGGACGGCACCACGGACTGGACTGTCGCGACAGGAGCGGCAGGGAGCGTCTACGACACCTACCAGACTTCGTCAGCCCCCGATGGCAGCTATGTCATCGCCATCAATGGCGATCTGGCCTCCAACGGCCTCTCCCAGACCCTGACTGATCTGGCCGTCGGGAGTACGTATACGCTCAGCCTGTACTGGCAACTCTTGTCGATAGGCACAGGAACCTGTTCCTTGAATGTCTACATCGACTCTGCGGAGAGTAGCAATGTGGCGGCCACGGGGCAGCTCACGTCGGCCAGCAGTGCCTGGACCCACGTCACTGGCCAGTGGACGGCAACCAGCACGACTCACAAATTGATGGTGGATTTCACCTGCACGGCCGGCAGCTTCTCGAGCAGCTCGGAGGTCAATTTCGACGACATTACTTTCACTGGTCCTACCGTGGTCAACTGCCCAACCTCGACGGCACAGACCTTAACACTGACTCCCACTCCGACGCCCTCCATCGCTTCAGCATCTTCCTCTACGCCTGTTGTTACTACAGCTACTCCTAGCAGCCCAGCTGCCTCATCCCCTGTTCTCTTTACCTCCGTTCCGGTGCAGAGCAGCAGCAGCGCAGTCACCATTGTCCCCTCTGTTCGTCCATCGTCGGCAGCGGTGCGGCCATCGTCCAGCGTCCCCACGCAAGCCTCATCCGCATCATCCTCCGTTCGCGTGGCGCCAAGCCAGTCAACCCCGGCCCATCAGCTCTCGGCCGCATCATCTAGTGCGCCGTCCAGCTCTGCTGCAGTCCCGAGCCTCACGTCTACTGCCCTTTTCGGTGGTAGTACCGCGATCGCGGCGACAGAGACAGATGTGGACGTGGTGACATCCACCGTCTACGCGACCGTTACCGCGACTTTCACTGTTGCTTGTTAATGGGCCTGATTCTTATCGACGGAGTGTTGAGTGTTGGAAGGCTCTAGTATTATTCCAGCGTCTGTACAATTGTACTCATACAGGGAAGAATATGTAATCGTAAAGCATTTGCTCTTGAGTATATTCATAGAGTACCCTATTAGGCTCAGGTTATATAATATTAAAGAGACGTTTATTATTATGTTGGTGCTTCCTATCGCACTCAGGTGAATTTGAAAAAGCCAGACAAGCTGCCAAAGGTCACGCTTAGGAGAAATGTTGCCTATAAAATGGCACCTTGAAGGGGTGATTATAATCAATCCGTCACCGTCTTGAGGAGCGTCTTCACCCTCCTCCAGCCGTGGGAGTCCGACCCCTTCCCGACCCCTTACCCTCCAGAGAGTATATTTGATGCGGGCCGGCCTCCGTTGTCGTCGTTCGACGGGACAACCTGCCTTTGTGTTGCTTTCGGCGAGGACCTTGTAAAGCGCCATCTTTAGTCCATTGAGGAATTGGGTACATGGTTTCTGATCATCATTCCCATGTCTCTCTCAGGCACTTCGAAGTACTATTCTCCTGGCTACTCACATAGCACTATCTACAGTATCTCTCCGTATAATCACCTGACTTTCAGTGTACGGAGAGTCTTGATTCAGAGGGCATGCTATAAAGCATTACTCGGTAAAAGAAAGTGTTAAAATAGTAGACGGTATAAATTCTTGATTCAGCTAGGATGGCTACCTTTCTTTGTTTTGTTTTTTCTTTTCTAATTTTGGATAATTTCATTCTTCCGGAACACGCACAACATAGTACTGACTGACTCGAGGAGATAAAACCGTACAGAAAGGAAGGGCCGGGCCAACTAAAACTCCTCGAATGGCAGGGCAAGCAACGCCTCCCGGTGGGACGTCCACGAGTCGTCGGCCCCCCCGAGCAAGCAAATCATGACATCGACCGCCACCTTGTACTTTTCCCGATCCTCGGGGAGCGCAAAGTCGAACTCGAGCTGGCCGTCCAAATCGAGCTGGTGGTTGCGCTCTACGAAGACCTTGAAGCGCGCCGGCCTGCCCCCGCCACTGGCGAAGACGAAGCGCGCGCGGCCCCCGCGGACGAATACCCCGCCCAGGGCCGCCCAGTGGTCTCCGGGCCGGCCCTGACGCATCTTCCCCCACCAGTAGTGTATGCCCTGGCGCGCTTCTTCCCAGTCCTTGTCAGCCGGCAACCGCTGGATGTCTAGCCGCCAGCTGTCCAGTGGCTCAGGGCCGTCGCCAGCAGATATGGGGTCGTTCTCGGGGAAGGTGTGCTCGTCCAACATGACAGTTGAATGATAGAAAGGTATCCGGGCGGAAGGTAGCAAAAGCAGATGGGGTGGTGGTAGGGATGGCAGTGGCAACGATGGTGGTAGCGTTCAGCTCTATTTATCGGTTATTTGTACAGTATTGTATAAAGGACGGGCCCTTGGATATCGGGAATATGGGCGAAGATCCCCTCGGCTTCTTTATTCTTTGCTTTGTTCGGGTGGATCTTTGTTATCCTCACTTCTTTGGCATGTTCCTCTATTCTTGGTGTATTGTACTGTACACAGGGCGTAACAAAAACAGGTGACTATACACTAGCAGAGGTAATATTTGATTATCTAATAATAGATTCTAGCTGCCTTTAGTAAGATATCAAGCAGCATCTCTATAAACAAACCGCCTAACCGGGATCTTCAGTTACCGCCTCGAGGATTGTCTCGGTCCTCTTTCGGCCCGCTGGGCAGTAGCTGGGCAGGCCGGTCTTGATGACTATAATAACCTCTTTCTTAAGAACCGAAGAGTACAATCTCCTACCTATACCTAGAGAGATAGCATTACTACTGACAACTGTTGGGAATTCACTAGGCTTCCATTGTATGAAGAACATTGATTGATCTGTACTTGAAAATATTACTGGCCAAGAGAATGGGTCAAGATAATATCATACTTCATTTGACTAGAATGACTGCCTTTTTCCCCTCCTTTTTTGCCCGTATTACTTCTTTCCCTCCCCATATCTACGACACAGCGTGCGGAAAGAATCGAAAGCGAAAGAGGAGAGGCATGAGACAGGTGAAGGCAAACCAACTAATACCCGCGGAATGCCAATACCACCCCTTGCAACACTTCCAGGGTATGCTCCCACCAATCGCCCTCGGCCCAGAGGAACTCTTTCATGACGTCGGCCCGCTCGATGAACTTATCACAATCCTCGGGCCGCGAGAGGTCGAAATCGAGCTTGTCGCGCCCCAGGAAGCAGGCCGGCTCGCCCTCGGGGGCGCCGTAGACGAAGCGCGCGTAGTGCCCGCGAACCATCAGCCCGCCCATGGGTACCTCCACCAGCTCCGGCTGAGCCTCCCGCATCTCCTGCCACAGCTCGTTGAAGTCCGGCAGCGCCGCCTCCCACTCCGCGTCATCCAGAATCCGCTTGATGGGCACCCGCCCGACGGGCAGCTCTGATGTTGAGGTTGCGGACATGATGTTGCGATAGTTGAAAGTTGTCCTGGGAGAAGAGGAGCACTGGAGACTTAGGGGTTGGTGATGAGGAAAGGGACAGGTAATGGTGAGGGCAGTGGGCGTTCTTTATAGATCATCGGTGCAGTATGGCCTGAAATATGGAATAAAGCATCTATCCAGCGACGAACTGCGCGCCGGCAAGTCTTGTTTGATATGCTTTGTGCCTTTGGTTGTTCTTGTGCTCTCCTGCTTTGTCTTGACTCTTTGGCTTGGTTGTCTGTCTTGATTGGTGGGAAGAGCGCAACAAAGACCGCTTACTGTCCACAGGCGGGGGCTGAAAGAACCTTCAAGGTTTGTAGTAGTAGGTGATAAAGGTGTGATGACAATCAATGCTGATGTCAGAATAGTACCTATATCCGCGGCTGTCGAAAGTACAAGAGGAACGCTTTTAATTGTGCAACGGTTGAGAACAAGAGCTTCCAAGTTGCCTTTTGCGTGGTAGCAGAAGGATCAAGCGATCTCCTTATGGTAATTAAGACTGACTGAGGATAAAGAAGAATCTTCACCTTATCACCGGCACGGGCACGTCTTCCTCCAAAGTACAGATTCGGAGACATTGGAGTATCGAATCATCTGCAAGGCACGTAAAAGAAGCGTGTCACGGGCTGAAAGGAAAGTGACAGACAGCCAGATAAACACATTCCATCAACCAGTCGGGAATAATGCAAAAAACATACAACAGAAGGGATTCGCTGGTGGTCACCCACCCAACTACTAACCTCCCGGCGTGTGGCTTAAGTACGGCTGAGCGGACGGGAAGCCCTGTTTTCCACACCCTGTGGTCGTATGTGCTTGGGTTTTGCATGGTACAGATCATAACATACGGACAGGGCAAGATCTTGAACCATAGAAGTTGTATGACCGTGAGCAAGCCGTGGCCAACGCGCAAGTTGGTAGAGCACCAAAATCAGCACCACTGGACTGCGAAAGAATTTACCGACACCGTCTTATTCTTCATGGCCTCAGCCACACTCTCGATATCCGTGGAGCAAGCCCTGCGATGAGGCCAATTGTCGTCATAGGAAGGTGAGTCAATCATTTTTTGCCCAGAGTGCTAGCTGAACTCATGCCTGTGTAGCATCAGCCACAGTCATGCTGAGCCACTTCCTAGCCTTCCACTAACGCATAGCATAAGTGGACCGCTCGCATGAGATATCCGGCATCTCCGGCTGTCAGGGCCGAGTTTGGACCAACTGAAGCGTGCCTCACTCCCAGCACGTCGGTACTTTCAGTTTACCGTTGGATCATTGGATGACGCCGGCCTTGACTCGCATTTCCAGCATAACGGATGAAATGATTGGGCCGCAACAAGCTATACGAACAAGGCCACATTAGTGCCAATCAGTATTACGTGGGTAGTCATTGATGAAAGAAAATTTCGCAGGCGAGTCAATGTAGCGGCCCTTCTCTCCGGGTGATTGGTCGAGTACCCGAGGAGGCTCCACCGGGCTTTTCCCTTTCTATGTATAGCCTCAAGCTTTCTGTAGAACCCTATTCAAGGTTCGGTTCATGAACCCGTGTTCGTTCAAATTATGCATCAGAGCTTACTTACTTTGAATTGTTCTTACTGTTCCGTTCCGTCAAATGTGTGTTGTGACGTTAGGATTTAGGTTCATATGCTTCTCCGCTGGTATATTTGATGAGAGCAGACAATGTCCTCGATTCCTTTCGGATCTCGCGGGTTGTAGCTTCGACGCTAGGGAAGTATCAGCCAGCTCAGGTGAATGTGGCTGAGAGGCGTCGAGCTAGGTAGGAACGGCAGGGGCAGCGCACGAGCAGTTTGTGTAAAGGTTCAGGTTCAGCTTGGTGGTGGCGTTTCAGTGCACTGGCAGTATTCTGCATTATCTTTTTTATCTTTTTTTCCCCGCAGTCGCAGCTATAAGAGCCTGGTGTCAGCCACATTGAGCTCGATATTCAGAGCAAGAAAGTGTACATAGCATTCTGGGAAACAAGACGAGACAAGCTATAGCCTTGCACCTGCAATCGACACAATTATTTATCGCCATCACAATCAACATACCCAGACAGCCTCAGATCAATTAACAGAATGGCGACAGCATCGAACCGCCCTACAGAGAATGCAAAGTTCCGCATTCTCATGCTCCATGGTACGTTTCAATCTCATCACTATCATAATCTCAATCTGGCAATCAAGAACTAACCACCAAATAACCAGGCTACGCCCAAACAGCCCAAACCCTCCGCATCAAAACCCGCTCTCTCCTCCAAGAACTCACCCAAACTCTCACTCCTATCATCCAAGCAAGATACCCCGGAGGTATTGAATACCTCTTTCCCGACGGACCCATCGATCTCGACTCCAACTCCACCTCCATCACCACCGCATCTACATCCCACCCCACAAACGCAACGCGACTAGCCTGGTGGCTCAACCTTGATGACACGAGCCGTTACATCTTCCTCAACGACACAATTCACTACATCTCTGATTTTCTAGAGGGCAAGCCCATTCACGCGATCATAGGCTTCTCGCAGGGCGCCGCGTTGGCCGTGATGCTCGCGGCGATGTGCGAGGCCGCTGCCGATCCGCAGCGGTTGCAGGCCATTCAGACACAGAACCTTCCCGTCGATACCTTCCTGCGGTCGCTGTCAGGCCAACAACCGCTTGAATTTGTGCTAAGTTTCTGCGGGTTCCGCGGCACGATGGAGTATTATAGCAGTCTGTACACGCCGGCGCTGTCGACGCCGTCGTTCCACGCGATCGGGGTGTTTGATACGATGATCACGGCAGAGGAGAGTCGCGAGTTGTTGGAGGCGTTTGTCGCGCCGGAGGTAAGGTGGTTCTTCGGAGGGCATTTTGTGCCCAGGGATGCGGAGAGTATGCGGCAGGTTGTCGGGTTTGTGAAGCGGGTGTCTTCAGAGAGCGCGGTTGGAGATACGAGGGGATTGAGGTCTGTCTTGAGGATAGGCTCGGGTTCGGACTCAGAGTTGAGCGTTGGGAGTTCATCCCGTAAGAGACGGAGGTTGAAGCAAGTGGTTGTGCGTGCGAGGAGACGGTCCCCGGTTCAGATGGCGTGGGGAAGGCGGGATCTTGGAGTGAGGCTGGCGTTGGCGGTTTGAGTATTGTGCAAAGGGCGGAATGATAGATGAACTGCTATGCAGCAATTGACGTAATTGATTCCCACGAGCCTGTGATTAGAAGAATCGGGTAAAGCCAAAGGAACAGATCACAGCGAGACAAACGAAACATCATCCTTAATTGAGCTTTGGGAGTACCTTGATTCAGGAGACAATCCTTGCATTATGCCTCGATCCTGTCTTGGCGAAAGAGATAGTCTGTGTCTCCGTTTTCAGAAACTATGCACACACAGGTTTCGCGCGTGTGTTGATCTGAAATATACACTCTGTTGTTCATGTTAGACAGCTCAAACACGGAATAATGGCTCAATGTTACTGTTGGAACATGTTTGATTTCGTTATGATGCTAGCACTGCTTGTCTGAATCCACACCCACACCAGTTCCAGCGACCAATGTCTGTCTAGATCTGCAACAGCCCTCAGGACAGCCACACTGCCCGAACATGGAAGTTTGAAGACATCTCCCACACATCGCAGTTAGCAAGATTATGCTAATCAGTATGTGTGCGAGCACCCAGAGGTGGTCATGCGAAACTGGGCCACTAAACTTCCTTCCATCAGAGTCTCTTAGTTTGACCATGTAAACTGCTACAAGTATACAAAATCAGTTCGAATAAGTAGAGACAGATGAAAATCTATAGATAAGTGAAGACTTAGGACCTAGATATTGTTTGAAGGGTGTGATTCGGTTCAGGTATGGAGATGTCCTTGAAAAGACTTTTCCTGTTTCGAAAAGTATCTAGAAAGGCTGTGTTCACTTGAGAAGATATCTAGAAAATGATTTTTCTGCTTACTTCCGTACTGAGAAAGATACCTGGAAACTGAGGTCTTGCTTACTTGGTTATTTCAAAAAGTATTCAAGGTGGCCTTTTCGATCATAAGAATGCCTGGTGCTTACTTAGGGAGCTGCCTGGAGAGCCTGGAGGCCTTGTTTACTAAGTCAGGTGCTTGTGAAGGCCTTAGGTGCCTCGTGTCTACCTACTTAGGACAGGTGCTTGGTAGACTGGTTTACATTTGTTTGTATTGTAGTTTAGAATTTGGATACTCTAGATGATGGGCAACAGTCAGTATAGTGTTCCCAGATCGGAGAGAATACTCACTCTATGACTTGAGAAACATTGTAATTTTTGATAAAAATGCTAGAGTTGAAAGATAATTGTTCTACATGAGCACCTCTAGCACATACGTGGGCAAGGCCAAAGCGGCAATTCTAAGCCCCGTCCCTGAGTCAAACGGGGCAATCCAACCGCGCGGGTGAAAAACAAGTTTTCGGGCAAAATGGTCAGTCATAGCCACTCATTTCCTGATTTGGAGCCAGAGCACTGTTCCACATAGTCCTCCCCACAATACCGCATCTTCACTGCGGGGTACGGATCTCCACATTTCCTGAAGAGATTCCACGATGATGGCATCATATACGCTGAACACAAATATTTAAGCCTTGAACTTTTCCTACGGGAAAGGGATAGTAGATTTTCTTGAATTCATCACATTCAGAAATCAGAATGCAACTGTCTGTTCGCCGGCTACTTTCACTCGGCCTGCTGGCTACAGCGCTTCCTGCTACAGTATGCGGTGCCAACCGATCCTCAATGCTGCGAACCGTGGTGACCACCGACCTCGAGCAGGACGACTTGGCCTCCCTAATCCGATACCTCCTCTACACCAACGAGCTCGACACCCAAGCAATCATCTACAGCTCCAGCCGGTACCATTGGTCCGGTGACGGCAATGGAACCCAATTCTTCTTGCCCGGTCGTGAGTACAGCAGCCCGCAGTGGGCGTGGCGCTGGACCGGCACACGCACCCTACAGGACAAAGTCCTCCCTGCCTATGCTGAGATCTGGCCGAATTTGAACAACCATGATCCCTCCTACCCGACCCCCGATGAGCTCGCATCGCTGATCAAAATCGGCAACATCAACTTCGAAGGCGAGATGGAGCTTGACACCGAAGGGTCGGACCTCATCCGATCCCTGATTCTAGACGACGACCCACGTACGCTGTATTTGCAGGCTTGGGGTGGCACCAACACCATCGCCCGCGCACTGAAGTCGATCGAGGATGAATACTCGGGCGGGTCGCAGTGGAATGAGACTCGGGATGCGGTCGTTAACAAAACTGTTATCCTGGCCAGTGGGTTCCAGGACGAGACGTATGCGGATTACATCTCTCTCCACTGGCCGCAGATCCGCGTCGAGCAGCTGGAACCTGGATACACGACCTGGGGCTACAACTGCAACAAAGGCCAGGGTAACACACGCGGACGCTCCACTGGCGACAACCTGTACTTCACGGGGAAATGGATGAAAGCGCACATCCAGACAGGACCGCTCGGAAGGCTTTACCGCTCGTGGATCGATGGCCAGTCCATGGCCGGCGATGCCCAGGATACTTTCGGGAGCCCAGCCACTGCAAACCAATCTTCATTTTGTAAAGCCCTGGAGCCATACGACTTCTTGTCTGAGGGAGACAATGTGGTGTTTAATCCCTTGTTGACGACGGGTCTGCAGGACCCGGCAAACCCGAGTCTCGGCGGATGGGGCGGTCGCAGCTACCAGAATTCCACCTCTCCCAATCTGTGGGTCATGGTGTCGAGCGAGAAGAACAAGGCGGGCGACGAGGTTGACGACTACACCACCGACCGATGGGCCGGGGCGGTGCAGAACGACTTTGCGGCGCGCATGCAGTGGACCCTGACCCCAAAGTATAGCAGTGCCAACCACCCCCCGTCCGTGACGATTCTAAACGGAACGACAGTCGAGGCACAGGCCGGAACGACGGTTATCCTTGCCGGAAATGTGAGCGATCCCGATTCCAACAATGTCACCACTACTTGGTGGCAGTTTTTCGAGGAAGGCACTTACCCGGGCAATGTCACCGTGACGGACGTGGGAGATGATCGGGCGGAGGTGGAGATCCCAGCCGATGCGCAGACTGGCGAGACCGTCTCAATCATCTTCGAGGGGACGGATGACGGGCAGTTTCCACTGACTCGTTATGGGCGCGTTTTCATCGACGTTGTATAGCTAGTTTGTTTGTCATAGGTAAACGATGACAGTGATAATGCAACATACTTCTTATTGTCGAGTTGTCGAGCATGATCAGGTAGAAAAGGATGGAGGTTGTCTTTCATAACCGCGGGGGAGATGAAGAGAGGAGAGGAAGTAACCACGGTCGGCAAGGATGAAGCAGGAGCGGGGAGGATGTATTGCTTATCGGTTATCTCCTATCTCCGCCTCTTTGGCCCCTTCCCCGGTCTCATCTCAGCTCATCTGTGTAGACTGCTCAACCCCTCAATCAGGATGAAAAGCTGTCATCCGGTATAATATACTTTGATATAATGCTTAGAAATACAGTCAGGTGGTGAGCACTGTGTCTTGTCATGCGGCTCACCGCAGGTGAATGAAGGAGTTCTTGGTAATCCGTGCTGAGCTGCAGAATATATTAACCACGGGTAAAGCTGGGAAGTAATGCGAGCACATCCAGCAGCGATTCGAATTACTCACAGGCGATCATTTCCGAGATACAAATACATTGGAAGAATCAATGAGCGCACCAACTACTGACGAAGTCAAACCGCACCTCCCAATTGTCGGAAGCGATGGGTGGTCCACCGAGGACGAAGCAACCGCAACCTGCTTCTGCGGCGCCGTCCAATTGTCTTTTGTGAGCTTCCATTTCACTCTAATGTCTTCGCTAAACAAGAATCTACTGAACAAGGTCACAAACTGTAGCCAACGCATGGCCCTGGATTTGTGGTCTCCTTCATCTGCAACTGCACCGACTGCCATAAAATCACGGCCTCGATGCACTCGACCGGCTTCATTGTCCACGACACCCATCTGAAACACCTGCGCGGACAAACGGTCCTAAAGACATACACGCAGCCCAAATCCCCCGGAAGCGACACGACGGTGACCAACCACTTCTGTTCCACGTGCGGATCGCTCATGTATCGCGTCAGTGCGGCTTATCCGGGCATGAGTGCGTTACGGGTTGGGACGGTGGACGATTTCTCTTTGCATGAAACGAAGTTGCGGCCGACGGTGGAGTTGTTTACCAAAGACCGCGTGGCGTGGAAGCCTCCCACCGCTGGGGTGGAGCAGTTTGTGGCCGATGGGTTGCATTAGACAGAGTGGATGTACAGTACAGTAATCTATGCACAATATGGCACGTGGTGATAATTTCGACGGTTCTTATCAAAGTTCTTCAGGAAAACTCTGGAATGGCGGGCGGGATTTGGCTGACAGTTGGTCCGCCCGATTGGCTGGCCGCGCGGCGGACGCAGAGAATTCTCAAACTCCACCGCACTTTGGCGGGCAAAGAGTGGCAAGTCCACCCCGCGAGGCGAACTGGCGATCACCGACTAGTTCATCGAGGACGCTTCAGGAGACTACTGCTCGACATGATTAGCGTTGCATAGGTGGCATCAACTGCCGGTTGAATCATGTCAAGTCACTGCTGTAGGTTCGTCTGACAAGGGAGATGATCCTGCCCTCGTGCGGTTGCTTCACTGGCATTTGCCACGAGGGTTAGGGTTGGGGACTGGGAGATCAAGATTATCAGCAAACGATTAGCCAAGAGAAACGGAATGGAAGCGTCCAGCGTCTTGGCAACCCCATTACGCAGGGCGCGACACCAATCACGCAATTGACTCACCCGCTTCGTTAGGTAAAATAAAAATTTCTTTTATAGACCGACCACCTTGCCTTGCAGACTTTCTTTCCCTCTTGACATTTCTTGAAACTTTTTGCCTCTTGTGTGTCGTGTGTCGTGTACCTGTCTCAGAGTAGGAATGGCCTCAGCACCTGCCAACCACGAGGTGGACGCCCAGGAAGCGCCGCAAGCCGTCGACATGCCGCGCGTGTCTCGGTTCTCCAGGGTCAAGTCCATCTATCGCTCGATTCCTTTTCAGATTGCCATCGCTAGCGGTGTTTCCTTCACGGCGCCTGGTATGTGGGATGCCATGAACAACCTTGGCGCTGGTGGAGCTGCTGAGCCCTACGCTGTCTCGGCGGCCAACGCCCTGGTCTATGGATTGTTCGCCATCGTCTGTGTGGCCGCCGGTGCTATCAACAACCGCATCGGTCTGCGCTTCGGTTTGGTTCTGGGAGCTATCGGCTATCCCATCTATGGTGCTGGTCTCTACACCAACAACTATGCGCCCACCACCTGGTTCATGCTCTTTGGCAGTGCCCTGTGTGGTATCTCTGCCGGTTTCTTCTGGGCGGCCGAGGCGGCTATCATCATCGGCTATCCCAGTCCGGCGGACCGCGCTTTCTACCTGGGTAAGTCAATGCTCCCTCCGATGCCAGTGATATCTTGCGGCTGTGAAATACTAACAGCTCAACAGCTATCTGGCAAACTGCTAAAGCCGCTGGTCCGATTGTCGGTGGTGCCATCAGTCTGGGCCTTAACGCGCAGACCTCGTCCAAGGGCACCATCAGTGCCGGCACGTACATCGTGTTCATTGTGATCATGTGTCTGGGCTTCCCGATCGCGCTGTGCCTGAGCCCCGCGGAGAAGGTGCAGCGGAAGGACCGGACGTTGGTGGTGGTGCACAAGCAAGAGTCGTGGGCGGCCGAGTTCAAGGCGGCGGTGAGCCTGATTTGGACGCGGCGCGTGCTGTTGTTGCTCCCCGCCTTCTTCATCAGTTACTTCTACAACGCCTTCTCCAGCACGTGGTTGACCGATTACTTCACTGTCCGCTCCCGCGCCTTCTCCGCCTTCTTCACCAACTTCGCCGGTATCGCCTCCTCGTTCATGATAGCTGCTCTTCTCGATCGCCAGTCTATCCACATCAAGACCCGTGCCAAGATCGGTTTCCTGTCTATCATTACCATCCTCACTGGTACCTGGATCTGGGCCTGCATCTTGCAGAGCCAGTTCTACAACGCCCCGGAGGCCCCCACCTTTGACTGGTTCACCGGCGGGTTCGGCAAGTCCTACGCATTGGTCTTCTTCTGGCAGTTTGGCGGCCAGGCCTTCCAGCAGTTTTTGTACTGGCTGGTCGGTCAGTACAGCACCGATATCTCTTCTCTGTCCTACCATTGTGGAATCCTGCGCGGATTCGAGGCGCTGGGACAGACCGTTGCCTGGGCGTATGTCCCCTCCCCTTTTCTTCTGGAATAGACAGAAACTGACCAAAACAGTATGCAAACCGAAGGCAACGTCAACCACTTCGCCAGCATTGGTCTCAATTTCGGCGTCACCCTGCTGTGCGTCATCCCCACTTGGATTGTCCTGTCTGGCCTGGAACGCAGCCACGAGGTGCAGGTCACCATCGAGGATGTCCAGGCCAAGAACGCGGACGACTCCGAAGCCTAAAATGGCACCCCCATGGATTTTCAACAAAGTCCAACCCGATTATATAGTATTTAATATTTTAGCATGAGATACCCCTTTTTCAACAATCTGGCATCGTTTAGCGTGGAGTGATTTGTGGTGGATTCATGGAATGGAATTCAATTTTAACTTTACCACTATTTCATTTATATATCCTTGCTTCATGAGATCGTATTTTTTTGGTTTGGTGTTAGCTGAAGTCTTATGCAGGCAGCTGGGGATTTTACGTATTTTACCAATATGAGCTCTACGACATCGAATCAAGCTTGATGGAATACTGGTCTATAATATGTCTATATTATGCTACTGTGCTTTGACTATACTCCACTCCTTCCAAGAATGCAGCCATCCGCCGAAACATCTCCACCGGGTTGGAATACATGGGGAAATGCCCACTCTCCGGGATGAGCGCCAGCTCGACCCCCTCCTTCCCCAGCCGGGGCAAATACGACAAACCAGCGTTCTCCTCCCCAAACATGAACATCTTCGGACACGGCAACCCCAAGAATATATCTAGTAGACTGCCTGAGTCAGATAACTGGACCATCGACTCGAAGATCGCGCGCACCGCGCCGGCGCGCACCCTCGCGCGAATAGTGCTGGCGTACAAGGCACTGCCGTGGGAGTTGGCGGTCGCGGTGCGCGCGATGAATGCATCTAGGAAGGCTTCGGGGTCGTCGGCTGGGAAGAGGAAGATCTGTCGGCTCAGGAAGCAGTCTTCGGGGGCGAGGTTGCCTTTGATGTCGACGAAGCTTAAGACGCGGGTGGGGTGGTGATGGGCAAGGAGGAGGGCGGTAAGGCCGCCCATCGAGTGGCCCATCAAGTGGAAGTGCTCGATCTGGTAGTGTGCGAGCACCGCTTCGGCGGTGGCGACTAGGAAGGGGATGTCGGTCGCGGAGAGGTTCGTGCTGGTGGTGTGTCCGCAGCCTGGCGCGTCAAAGGCGAGGTAGCCATATTGTTGGAAGGCGGGTCGGATCGCCATGTCGGCGAGGTCTTCTTTGCAGGATCCGAAGCCGTGAAGGAAAAGGATGAGGGGTTTCCCGGGGATTAGGTTGTTGTGGATGGTGGCGATGTCGAGACGCACGCCTTGCACCTGGAGGGGGATTGTTTCGTATGTAAGTGGCATGGTGAGGGTGGGTTGTGAGAAGTGCAAGTATGTAGATTGCTGGGTTCCTTGCTGGCGAATGTAGAGCATTTATTGCCTGGCCCCAGATGCAAGGGCAATTAGGTTTCGGTCCGCTACATGCAGGGTCAATTGATGGGTTCGGCCAAAAGTCGTCTTGCCGACCTCGGCATTGCCGCCTATCGGGATCGGTGCATTTACCCGACCATGCTGAGATAACAATCATGGTTAATTCAATGTAAAGGTGCATTGGGTGTATTATTTCTTCCATTCCCCGACATTTGAATCGAAGCATTGAGATAGTTTGCTATTTCAGCAGCCTCTCTGTCAATCATGGCGACTTCACTCTCCAATCCGCAATTACGATTGCTCAATGCTCTCCGAGCCGGCGCGAAGCCGGTGATGACCTTCTTAGGGCTTCCGTCCTTCCGCACAGCACAGATCGTAGCTCAGACCGGTGTCGATGTCAGTCCCATAACCTTATTGACACGGGGCTCTCTACTGATAAACCTAGGGAATCATCATCGACTGTGAGCACGGTAACATTAGCGACGACGGCATGCACAGCGCAACGGCTGCCATCGCCGCCATGGGCGTCTCGCCGCTGGTCCGGCTCCGAATGACCCATCCGGACCTCATCAAACGAGCTCTCGATACAGGCGCGCAGTAAGCATCTAGCTCACCTTACCGGTGAGAGATGTGCTAATGCAATGCACAGTGGCATCGTCGTGCCCATGATCAACACCGCTGACGAAGCGCGGGCGGTTGTTGCGCATGCGAAGTTCCCGCCTCAGGGGCTTCGAGGGCAGGGGTCCGCATTTCCCGCGGTTGCCCACGGCATTGACCTGCCGACATATATCAAGACTGCGAATGACACGCTCATTACCTGCGTGCAGATCGAGACCAAGATGGGGGTGGAGAATGTGGATGCCATCTGTGCTGTGCCGGGCGTTGGTGAGTCCTTAGCCCAAGGCATCTTCTAGATAGTTTGTTGATTGCATGTTCAAGATATGATTTTCATCGGCCCTAATGACCTGGCGCTGTCGGTTTTGGGCTATGTTCCTGCTAAAGGTAATGAGCCCGAGTTTGTCGAGGCGATTGAGAAAATCGTGGCGGCGGCCAGGAGGCATGGTAAATGGGTTAGTCGATTGTCCAACAATGGGGCTTTATGCAAGGAGCATCTCCAGGTGTTCGATACGGTGGCGTTGAGCTATGATATTCGCGCCGTGCAGAACTGGTATATCAGTGAATTGCAGGTGGCGAGATCATGATCGCCAGAGGCTTGAGGAACGCCGCTACTTTGGATTGTAGACAGAAGAACTTCCTTTGTGTTGTTACTCATCGGGTTGTGTGATCTTTTTAGTGGGGGAAGTTCTGATATGTATACATGTTTTCTGAAAATACTCACAATTGTCAAGTTTCAACATGTAGCAATATTGTTGTTCACGGTCTCAATAAGAGAAAAAATAGTTCCTACCAGCCGGATTCTCAACATGGTGTAACTTTTGGAGAGCTAAAAAAAGCCCTGGTCCATCAGGTTTGAAGATCTGTAACACAGCTCGGTTATATGATGACTGTAATTTTTTCCAAGGATTTGGCTATCAAGTGGAAACAGAAATGATGGACTACGACCACAATACTTGTACTACATGCCGAGGGTTCAGGGAGAGAGGAAAAAGCAACTGCGCGACCTTCAATCATTTCCCTCACTCATCCTTTCCATGTCGCTGCAATGTATGGTAACCCAGCTTCTTTCGTGCCTCGGCGATGGTGGCACCGCCGGCAATCATCTCTCGAATTTCTTCCTCGCTCTTCTCAATCTTGCGTGCGACTTCGGCCACCTCACGCGCCCGAGCGCGGGGAACAATGACCACGCCGTTTGCATCGGCGACCACGATATCACGCGGGTTAACGCGGACCTTCCCGATACCGACGGACTCGTTCACGCCCCCGACCTGCACGCGGTCCTTGCCCGTTCGCATCCACCGACCAGCCGTGAAGAGCGGGTAATTATCGTTAATCGCACGGCTCACATCTCGACACACCCCGTCGATCACGGTTCCGGCAATGCCTCGCAGGCCGGCGTACTGTGTCATGATATCTCCCCAAACTGTACAGTCCGTGCGACCGCCGTTGTCAATGACGACAATATCCCCCTCGGCTACATCATCCACAAAGTCCCCCACACTACCGGGTGGATCGCTGGCAGGCACATACCGGACGGTGAAGGCCGGTCCAACAGTGACTTTGGTATAATTGGCAAGAGGCATGATTCCGAACGCCTGGCCCGGAAGGCCCAGTCTATCCAATGCATCTGACACCGCTGGTGTATCGGAGTCGGCGAACAAAGCCACAAGCTCTTTGTCTTCTGGGATGGCAGACTTCGGATTGTGCTTGGGTGGTACGGCCTCTGGTGCTGAATGCTGCTGCAGGGTTGGAGCGCTCTCACTCTGTTGAATAGCTTCGAACTGCGAATCGTGCATCACCTCCGAGACAGGGTGGCCGGCACGGACGGCCTCCACCATGCGGGCCTGGCGACGATCGATGCGTTCGGCCAGATTGACAATCTCGTCAATGCGCGCAGCTGGCACAAAGACCGTTCCGCAGCTGTCGGCAATCACATAATCATCTTGATGGACAGTAACCCCGCGTACCTGTAAGGCGGTCCCCGACGCCACCTGCACCAGCCGATTGCGGGCGCTAATCATCGTCACTCCCCGACCGTACACGGGGTAGCCCACGTCTCGGCTGCCGTCGATATCGCGACTCATGCCATCGATGATGGTTCCGCGGATGCGTTTCTGCTTGGAGGCGTTGGCGACAATGTCGCCCCAGCAGGATATGCCGTCAGTCCCGCCTGCGATGACCAGGACGCGGTCATCCGTGGCGACGGCGTCGATGACGGGGGTGAGCAGATGTGTGGTCGGCTTCGTGTCGGTCTTGGGGCCGACTTGGACGGTGCTGGCACGTCCAACAATCTTCGGACACTCCCAGAGGGGTCGCAGGCCATAGGTGGCCCCCTTGAGCTTGAGAAAGTCTAAGGCGTCGGAAATCGTGTTGCTGTCTAGCACTGCTAGGCGATCAAGAATGCTGGTTCCGCTCATTGTGTCGGCTGCGGGTGGGTTTAAGGTGGGTTCAAGAATCGCAGGAAGATGAAAGGCTAGAAACTGGGACTTGAAAGGATGCCAATGGGTCAGTTCAGGGCAACTCCTACATGAGGTGGAGGGGAAGGGTCTTATAGATGGCTCCTGAGTAGATTCGATGAGATGCGGCACTATCGGGGAATCGACAGTTGGCCGATGGGACGGACGGACGGTCGCCACAACGGGCGGATTCTGCTCCCGCCGATCGGAGCCTGCCTTAGCGCCCTTCTGATGACATCGCATCCCGCACAGGCAGTCGGGGCCTTCATCCGCCGATACCCTGGTGCATCGAGAAGTTTCACCCACCACGCTCGATGCTATGCATCTGAGCTCTCTGGCTCGTGCGACTCGCTTGTGCGCCTCAAGGCAGTAATTCCGAGGGCTCTACGGCCGGTTCCAGTGGCCAGAGATACGCGGTTCTGGCTCAGGAGATGCCCGCCACCAGAGGAGACGACGCTCTACACTGCTACACGTTGAACTTAACCGATGACACAAGAAAGATGGAAAAGAGAGGAGGAGAAGGTAAGAAGTAGTCACGCAAGAAAGGTAGCAACGGCTTTAACACCTGTCACATGCATGGCCAGGCATGGGGTCTGGGGGTAACTTGATTGATTACTCTGTGCCGCAATCCAGGGTGAAGTGAGATTAAGTTAATGAGCACATCCGCCTATATTTGCTCGGCAATCTATAATAGAACCCGGTAAGACATATGAAGTTTGAGCAAAGCAACAAGCATTTCGGAACGAACATCAGATGTCATACGTGATAAGTTCTTTGGCAAAGAGGTAGCTCATAGCAGGTCACAATTTCGCCCCGGGAGTGGTTTTCGTCTTTTGGGTATACGCATCCCAATCTACCGGCCGACCAGACTGGAACTCACGCAATTCAAGGGCACCATCGCCATCGGGTCGCATCATCTCATGGAAGAGTGCCTCGATCCCCGACGCCTGTTCGCCCTTGCCCGCGTGCTTCCAGGCGAGCCTGACCAACTCCTTCGACATGCGCGACGCATCGGGCGAGACGTGCCGCAGGCGCACCAGCAAGGCGTCCAGCTTCTTGTCCAGATCCCCGGGATTCTCTGCGACCTCGGCGTCGAGGCCCAGCGAATGCAGCTGGTCGTGCTTGACCGGGCGAGCCGAGAGCAAGGCCTCACGCGCGAAGGCGGTCCCCCACTCTCGGATGACATACTTGGAGATTGTCGCAGGACAAAGACCCATTCTGCCCTCGCTCAGGGTGCCCGTAGCGGCCTTGGTGCAGAGACGAAGATCACACGCGAACGCCAGTCCAACTCCCCCACCAAACGCTGGCCCATTCAGACACGCGATCGTCACCTTTGGGCACCGATCAATGACCTCGAACAGCTCCGTCAGCCTGGCGAACTGCGCCTCGCTGCTCCCCTTCTCTTGTGCAACCGGGGTACTCTTCCCCAGATCCATTCCCGTACAGAAGAACCGCCCCATGCCGGTGATAACAAGCCTCGACACCGCTGGATCCGAACTCGCGGTATCTATTACTGAATGCAGCTCCGTAATCATCGCAGCGGTCAACGCATTCCCATTCCGCGGACGGTTCAGCACGATCTTTAGATTACCCCCGCAGCGAAACAGCCGCAATCCCTCAGCGTCAAATAGCCAGAGTCCACCGTAAAGCCGTCAAGGGCGGCCGAGAGTCTGCAGGCGACTTGGCAGCAGTCTTACCCGCCAGCGCAACTCCAGCCCGACTCCCGTTTTCTCCGCCGGGTAGCTGCATCGCAATCCAGATCCCCGTATCGACCAACCGAGCCAGATCAACCCCCGTCTCGACCCCGGCTTTTTGAAACATATACACCACATCCTCAGTGGCAGCATTGCCCTTGGCTCCGGGCGCGAACGGACACCCGCCCAGCCCCGCGACGCAGCTATCGAAGACGCGGACGCCGCACGTATATGCTTCTCCTATGTTGGCCACCGCCTGGCCGTAGGTATCGTGGAAGTGGCCGGCCAAGGCACCGACGGGGATACCACCGGTGTCGGTGAGATGGTGAAGGAGACGGCGGACCTTTGCAGGGGATCCCACGTCGAGGGTGTCGCCCAGGCTGACCTCGTAGCACCCCGCTTGGAGGAGGGCTTGCACGTAGCGGAGCACCGCGTCGGGCGGGGTGGGTCCGTCGTAGGGATCGGACAAGATGTAGGAGACTTACTTAACACCATTATCAGCCTTGCTGACCTTTATCGAGGTGAGGTAGGTGGGGGCTCAACATACCCTCGCACAGCCAACCCATCTTGCACAGCCCGCCCAACCACCTTCCGCGCCCTTGCAAGGCCGACCTCCACCGAACAATTGATATTCGCCCGGCTGAACCCCTCCGTCGCGAGGACCGACTTCCACAATACGGACTGATGAGGAGGGCATGTTTTTTTAGTGCAGTGAGTATATTTCGGGCGATACTTTGCAGTCGGGTTGTTTTCTGCACTGTGCGTCTACGTATGCACACTGGATGGTCAGGGTATAAAATATGTGTGGACTGTTCGTCCCCGGACCGCTGGGTGTTTCCTACTCACGGACTGGCGGACCGAGGCGGTTGGGACGAGAAAGAGAGTATTGACATTGCTCACAAAAAACTACAATCTCGCTTAATTCTCCTCCTCCCTCACTCGCATCAGGCGATTCCCCAATTCACGCAGGAGCTGTTTCTGATGTTTCCCGCTGCCAGTCAGCTTGCATCCTCAAACAGCAGATACCACCACCTCGTCAACAAGACAAAAAAGCAAAAAGAAAGAAACAACAAACATACCCCGAATGATTAAATCCTTGATCCGTCCCGTGACCGCCACAAACCCCTCCCCATCCATAACCGCCTCGTCCCCGGTAAACATCCACAGCACCCCGGCCTCATCCCTCCGCATCACCTCCGCGGTCTTCTTGACGTTGCGCCAATACCCTTTCTGCCCTGCAAACCCCGCCGTGCACAGCTCCCCCCGCATCCCGCGCGCAACCACGCCTCCCTCCCAATCTACCACCTTTGCCGATGTGTGCGGCAGTACCTGTCCAACCGTATTAACCCCCTTGTCCATCTCATCGCTCAGGCGCGTCATAAACGTCACCGGGCTTGTCTCCGTCATCCCGTACGCGATCAGCACATTCGGGATTCTCATCTCTGTCCGGAGCCGGGTCATAAGCGTCGGCGAGACGGGGGAGCCGGAGGCGAGCGCGGTTCGTAGGGATACTGTCTTGGTGCCGGTATGGGTGAGGGTGTCGAGCAGGGCGAGGTACATCGTTGGCACGCCGAGGGTCACCGTTGCGCGTTCCGTGAGGAGTGCGTCCACGCATCTGGTCGCGGAGAAGCTTTGGGATGGGAAAATAATGGTGCTGCCGTGGATGAAGGAGGACATAAAGCCCAGGACGAGGCCGAAGCAGTGGAATAGGGGCGGCGGGCTAAGGATCTTATCCTGGGGGGTGAGGGCTAGGGCTTGGCCGACGAAGCGGGCGTTGTTGAGCAGGTTTCTTTTGCTTTTAGGGTTAGTTGGCATTCGAGGCAAGAGGGCGGGGGGGTAGAGAGGGGGGTTCACGTGTGCGGTAACATGGCGGCTTTGGGGGAACCGGTTGTTCCTTCGCTATCTGTGAGTACAATATAATATGTGAGACGCAAGGGAATAAGGATTACCGGAGGTGAATTGGAGATTCAAGACTTCTTCTGGGGAGACGGTGCGTGCGATAGCGGCTTGTTCGGCTGGCTTGGGGTGGGTGTTGCGTGTGAAGGCGTCGTAGGGTTGAAGGTCGCTGTCCGTTTGGCTGGAGATCCCGTCTCCGATGAGCACGATCCGACGGAGCTCCGGGAGCTTTGGATTCGATGATTCTTCGCTTCAAAGTGCCTGAATGTGGTCTGAAAGGGCTCTCTTGCTGATGCTCGCGCTGATGAAGACGAGTTTGCATGCTGGGAGATGTCAATCATAGCCTGGACTGGGCGAGATCGTGAGAGGGAAGGGCGTACAGCTCAGGTGCACTGCGCTAGTCAACTCCCCTGGGGCATAGGTATTGTTCAATACTACTACAGGACACCCAATGCGACCACTACCAAGAAAGACTTCGATGTATTGGTAACAGTTGCCCGCCATGATGCCCACGCAGTCCCCTGGACGCAACCCCATGTTGAGCATCGCCTGGGCAAGCACCCGGCTTCTCTCCCCAAGTTGGCGGTAGCTGAGCCGGACAGACTGCCACGGTACAACTACCGCCACCTTAGAGCCGTATTCAGCTTCTTGCAGGTCGATGAGCTCGCCCAGCGTCTTGTGTCAGAGGGCAGGCTCGGTCGGGCCGTGGACTATGGCGGGAGGGGAAGTCATCGTTGGATGTGTCTAGGACGTGAATAGCTGAGGTGGAAAATCAGAGAGATCCCTCAAGAAATATCCTTTATTCAGTTGTGACACTATATATTTCGCAAGATTCACAGGTTGTCCGCGATCCCCTCACTCTGCCTCCATTGATGGGTTGCGGACCTGCCCGCGGGACCACCCGAAGCCATCGTTCCGAAGGGCAGATCAATCCTCCCCACAGCATAGTCATCTTGATTATTTTATTTGCCCCACGCCGACCTTATACTTGTACAGCACTGTTCACTTAGACTGCTTTCCTCAGGACATAGCTTTATCAGAAACCCTCATGGCGACTCAATTCTCCTTCCCACCCCTCCCATTCCAAATCGACCTCAACCACTCGCAATATCGGGCCAACCAGGAAACATGGAAGACCGTCCTAGACAGGTTTGAGAGGGCTTTGCAGCAGGTTGCTGCCGAAGGTAACAATGCGTCTCTAGCACGGCATCAAACACGGGGGCAATTATTACGTCGGTGTGGATCATCCTCGCAGTGACATCAAGCTGACATTTCAGCAGCCCGCAATTTCATTGCCCTCTTATTGGACCAGGACTCGCCCATTTTGGAGATCGGGGCCTTCGCCGGCTATAGGAACCCCAATTCAACGCCATGTGCCAATCTGATCGCGGGGATTGGGAATGTCAGGTACGCCTACTAGTTAGCCATTCCTTTCACCACTGATACTAACTGCATAGTGGCCAACCATGTCTGCTCATGTCACATATCCCGACCCAGAGCGGTGGGGCCTGGAACGAGATGACAGGTTTGTCAACGCATTCAACCTGCAGAAACCATACTAACCATCCATTCCAGTACTCAAAACAAACCGAATCCTGGAAATCGCCTTCAAGAATGATTTGCCACTGATTTCACTGGTACAATCGGTACGCCCCCAAGTACCTTTCTTACAAGAAGCCAAATTGCTGATTGCCTCATTCCAGGCCGGTGTCTTCCTCCCGCAACAATTCCGAGTCTTTCCTTTCACAAAGGCGGCCAATTATTCCGGGATCTCACCGTGCGGACCAAACATGGCAAATCCTCCTGCGCGCTCGTCTTTGGCTCCTCGACTGCCGGGGGAGCCTATCACCCCGCGCTCTCCGATCACACTGTCTTCGTCGAGAACCAAGGGCAGGCGTTTCTGGCAGGACCGCCGCTGGTGAGGATGGCGACTGGGGAGGTGATCGGAGCGGAGGAGCTGGGCGGGGCGAGGGTACATGCCACCAAGACTGGGCTGGCGGATCAGATCGCGGCAGATGAGTATGTGTGACGTTCCATGCCTATTGAGTAAAATCGGTTAATCCACCGGTTGCAGGCTGGACGCTATCCGCAAAGCCCGAGAGTGGGTGGCTACCCTGCACATCCCATCACCCAAGGCACCCATCGACACCATCGAGCCCTTACCCCCAAGATACCCCGTCCACGACCTCCCGAGTCTTGTGAACCCCGATATCCGAAAGTCTTTTGAAATGCGCGAGGTCCTGCTGCGGTTGATCGACGACTCGCGACTGCTAGCTTTTTAAAGCCATATCTTATTTATAAATTTAAAAATAACCTAATTTAAATAGCTAATTAAAAATAAAACAATAAGTTATTAAGATATTCCAGCCAGCTCTGCTATTTTTACCACCCAGCCAGCCAGTATCTACAAACCAGCCTGCACCTTGACAATTTTTTATATAAAAAAAATTTATAAAACAGAGGTTTTAATAGTACTATTATAAATACATAAAGTGTTTATTTTAAGAAAGTTATGAAAACTCTGTAAGCCCTTCTAATTTTTCTAGTTAATATTATAAAAAAATGTATATAAAAAAAAGCCCTAAGATAATAGCTAAATAATAGTTAAATAAAAGTGTCATGGGTAATCCCCGAGGGTATGGTGAACCACCAACGGCTTGCCCACGTATCCCTGACGGAGGAGTCGTGACGTCAACGATTAAAAACCCCCTCCAGTATTTAACTCCTAGAATCTTGCTATACCTTCAGGATAGCAAGGATTAGTCTTGAAAACAATAGACTGCTACTATTCTATACCTAACTGACCCATTTTTCCCTTAACAAAAAGAATTATAAAATTATCTAAAACAGCAGTAGTTTTATAAAATTAGATAAATTATTAATAGTATCTGAAGATATAATACTACAACTTTAGCTATTACAAAGGATATTTATGTACTACACTATTTCACCCTTTAACCCTTATACTGCTAATTCTACTATGGGTATACAAGCCTTGGTGATCCTCGCTTACACTCGGGGGAAATACATATCCAAGGGCAGGATAGGGCCTTACAGGTTTCCTTAAGGCCTTCCTCGCACGGCAGTCTGCAGAGCAGTTTTCAAGGCCGTTTAAGGCCTTCCTTGCATGGCTGTTCAAGGCCTTCCTCGCGCGGCCGTTTAAAGTCTTTTTTGTATAGCTGTTTAAGGCCTTCCAGAGCAGTTCGCAGGGCAGTTCATAGAGCAGTGTAGGATCTTTCTTACTTAGCAATCAGAGTAATATTAATCTATGTATCTGTACTAATAGTGGTTCCAGCTACCCGCGGAAGCAAAATAAATCCAGAAACCACTTTAAAAACAGCTATCCAAAATAAAAGAATTAATTAAAATTAGAAAAAGGCCTGGATAGACCTATAAGTATTTTTTCTATATAAAAACTGTTATATGTCTATATAATATAACCTTAAATATAGAAAAGATGTTATAATTAAGCCGAAATTTAAAATCAGCATAAATTTTGTTTTTCCGGAATAACTCTTCTAATTTAAATCTAAAGATTCTAAAAACAGTCCAAAAATCCGATAAATAGTTAAGTTTTCAAAACATTAAAAAAACCCTTTTCAAAATATCAAAAAAATGGCTGAGATATTAATTTTTAAAATAAAAATCGAGAAAATTGATATTTTTGTATGGTATAAGTAGATATAGTTTATCAGTTATAAAAACTAAGTGTAAGGGCCATGCGAGCCCTTTCATCCTTCGCGGTTGATATTGCGAAGGGATGTATATAAAAAAGGCCTAAGGCATCAGCTATGTAACAGTTAAGCAAGGTGGTCGCGGAACCACCTGAGGCAGCAGTAGTCCCGCGAAGTTAGAAGATCAGCAACAACATCTTAAGGCAAAATACTACCACTTTGGCTATCGCAAGGGACATTTGTTCACCACACTATTTCACCCTTCAGCCCTTATACTAAGAACTAATTCAATAGCTCGTAAAGTTCTACTCACGTCCTAATTTGATACAAACAAGATATATTCAACCAACCCTGTGGATTAGAAGAAGCCTTGACCTTATGGCGCGAATCGGTTCAGCAAAGTGATGTACTTCTTGTCATCAGTCCTCAAGTTGCTATTCGAGCAATATCCACCTCGACCCGATCCTCCTTCTCCCGCAGCGCTGTGGAAGAACATTGGGCCGGACCCTGTCGCCGGGAACATCATGTATTACCTAGTTGGGTAATTGAATTTTAGGCTCAGTGCCCTGTCGCCGGAGTCTTCCCAGGCCAGTGTTATCAGATTTTACCTGCCCGATTACCCATTTTCTCTAACAGCACCACCTGGCTTGCCTGCTGTAGCTCGCCACATAGACGTATAATCGCTATATGTCGATAGTTCGAAGTCATTCTCTGAGTGGGAAACTGTACCCTTCATAGCGTAGATCTTGGTTCGAGGAATACGCGTCATATCAATAAGGCCTGCGCTCAGAGGGTCTCCTGGGTCCTGGGGAAAGGGTAAATTAGCCGCAGGAAGCGCTGGAGTGGTGTGAGACTAGGAGTGCAGGAAAGAAATGGAACACTACTTACCTCAATAGCAATCACGGCTCTCCAGGTCAAGTTCTTCTCCAGGTACGATTCCACTTCGTCCGGTGTCATAGAGTGCAAGCTTGTTCTGCTGGAGTCTTTTGCACAACCGAGTATCACATTCGTGATAGGTATTTGAGCGGTAGATAACACCCCTTGCTTTTTCTGTTCCAGGCAACTGTGGCACTGTACAGTTCTACCCCTTTCTTCCAGGCTGCTGCTAAAAGTGTAGACACTGCCAATGTAGCTGTTGGCATGGCGAAAGAAGCTCACCTCCCCTGGAGGCGCGCCGAGAAAAAAGTGGATGAAGTATGCCGCTCCATCCAAAGCATATCTGGCAAAAGAATCAATGAGCCGAGAACACATTGATGAATGCGTTTTGGATGAGTCCTGTATCTCTGTTCGTGCATGCAGAACAAACAACTTACCTATCATAGACGATGTTAATGACATAGTCGTTTTCTCTCCCCCTCATGCTTGGTGAATTCATGATTTCTCTTCGAACAACGCCGTACTTCTCGTTTATTCTTTTTTTCAGGGTGGGAAGATCTCTCTCATCATCCCGCGGCGCGTCACCACTACTAGATCTCAGTGTTGATGAACGTGGTGCAACACCTGCTGGCTGACCTGGCACAGTGAAATCATCGTAGTCATATTTGAAGCTTGCCTTCCAGTCTCTGCATGAATTCGATGTCCATGGTGTATTTGAGGCGTCTCGATGGAAGGGGTCCAGCGGAACATCTCCTACGCCCGACGCACTGTCAAACCACATATTCTCGTGGAGTGCCTGGAATATCGTGGCAAGGCGATCCACATTACTAGAAGAAGTCAGGATGAGTACGCGTTCTCTCAGGATAACAATACATGCCAATGATGAAGCCAAAATATCGGGTCGAAGGCGGCAACCGAGGGGTCGGCCATGTGTCCAATACCCCTTCCCAACCTCTCAAACCCTCCTGTCATTGACTAAAACAAGTCAGCACCAGCCTTCTCAGTTCTTGAAATAAGTGGCATACATGAATACCGTCGTGTACAAATTCCAACGACAAATAGTCTGCGGATGTAGGAGGGTTGTGAAACTTCTTCGACTCAAACGACTCCCATGAACTGAAAGTTGTGGCAAACAATCTATAGACGGCATCCGCAATAGATGTTGGCAACCACCCAATCAGGGAGGGGGTTCGGATCGCTTCATTAGCCTCTTCCCAATCATTGACGCCGTCTGTCCAGGTCGATTCATCTTGGTTGAGCGCAATACCCCACCTGCTTGTTGCTCGGGCCCTATTCCACTGCAAATAATGAGCACCATGTTCGATGCTGGCTTCATTGGGGTATTACGAACCGGGATTCCTTGGAGGCGAAATCTCCCCATTGACCTGTGGCCCATGGCTTCGCCGGTAGGGTTGGTGAATTTCCAAAGCGGATTCACAATATTCACAGGGGGACTGTCATGAATCAAGTTGATAATATCGATTCTCTCTTTCGTGAGGATCTCTGGCAAGCCATAGTCATTAAGATACTTCTGCCTTGCTCCCCAATCCCAATACGGCAGACGCCATTCTTTCGCCGCCTCCTCCCAAATAGACACCTGTGGAGCAGGAACATCTCTCTCAATAATCTTCCGCATAATTTCATATATCCGTTGCTATTTTCGTGGGTGTCAATGTTCATTTCTGCTAAATGCATCAACTTGCCACTAACCTCGAATAACGCCAGGTATGGGCGGTGCCAGGTTGCAAATGTCTCCTTGTTATGCGCACACCACCAACCAGCAAAACCACTTCCTGGGGGGTTACCAACCCCATCCCATTCTACATCTGGTTCGCCATGAATACCTGTTAAGGAGATGAGAAGCATCCTTCTAAGGGGCTGCTGATTATACGAACCTGCAATCCGGTAATACGAAAGTGAATCATTGGTTGGAGATAATTGCTGGAACTCGGTGAGAGCTCTCATAAACAAAGATACTTGGTGCGCATTTGCCGTGTCGGAAAGCCAGGCAGTGATTTCCTTCCGTGTAGGAGGCTCCAAACGACCTGTGTCTACTGGAATGCCTTGGATTGGATATGTTAGCTGGGACATTTGTAGTTATCTCAATGGACGTCAGATGAAGGTGAACATGAAAAATAAGATCAAGTCAATGGGTAATGAGTGAATAGCGGGTAGGCTAAAGAAGCATAAGACATATGTGATGAGGAGTCACAGCATTTTTGTAGGCATAACTATGGAGAGGTTTATCTCGATCAAACTCTAGAAGTATTGAGATTTCGCATACACCTAGGGTCTTGGTGATGTCACGGATTTCTCTCCACTAATAACATGACGAGAACTAACTATCAGGTGGACGGTCGATTCAGCTGCATCCGTGTTTCAAAATAAGATCGAACGCTCTGGACCCGACTTGGATTCTCTATCTAGTTTGACAAGGTAGTAAACACGATTCAGTTCGGTTTGTGTAAACTTCGTTTGGGCGGAGCCGCGAGACCTGGGCCCAACAAAGAATCTTGAAGATCAATGGTACTCAAAACCTACTGTATGGCGTGACCAGCTGTAAAACACCACTATCCTTGAGTTCAGCATTGATGTAACCTTGGTGCTCAGAATCTGGGCCTTCTTGACGAAATCATGACAAAATTTGACTTGATCGCTTGGAATTAGAAGGGTGGTCAAGCTAGGGGAATTCTTATGAAGTAGGAATCCCCACTTTGTTACATAGAGCTCCAATTAATTCATAAATACCCCCCAGCGGGAGATCTCCCTGGTATCCTATGGAACCCGACTGTGCCGTAGATCTTAGCGGAAACTAGAAACTCCTGCTCCTGGTTCTACAAATACATGACATGTTGGTCTGTCGTAGCCAGCGTCATGTGATGCGGTGGCATAACCTTCCTTGTCTTTCCCGCACGTCGAATACTAATCTGATGGAGTCTTTGCTTGCGTGACAAGCAGCTCGTGTGGGAAGCGATGCATGCTTGTGTAATTGGGTGGCTGGTACGGAGTTGCGGCCAGCTAAACTATCTAGGATAAACTGCTGACCAAGTAATGACAGCGAGGTCGAACCCCGGAGCACGCGGCAGGGGAATTCCCCGCTTCCCGCCGCGGAAGCTCCAATTAGAGTTAGGCCACCTGTCGCGGAGACTTTACTCGGTACAGTACAGTATCTTAGGTGAGTGTAGTCCCTGTGCTCCGACAGATCGACCCGAACTTCCAAGCCACATCATAATACGTTTCCAACCCGCGCCAATTGTCATGGATTATGGCTCTTCCACTCCAGACCTAACTCCGTCGGGCTAGAGTGCAATGACCACTAATCAGGCTGTTTTCGGAAAGCGCACTGACGACATTAACCTCCGGCCGAGGTCCAGATTTAGTAGCCAGAACTCCTACCATGGCGCGAATTGGAGTTAAGTTTTCATTCAACCATCAATTCCAACTGCGTTTTGTCATAAGTACTGTCCAGATCTCCTACAAAGCCATGGTAGGTCTAAATTTGATAAAGGCAGGGAGAGACTGCAACTTTAATATTTCTATTTGATCCTTCTAGACCGGTCTTAAAACTGGTCTGTTAGGGTCAACCACAACCAGAATAAAAATAGTCTATTAAAACTGTATAAAATTGTCTCAATATTAGTATCTAAGGAATAGTTAAAGCTAAAGCCTACGTAGATATTTTATAATAATATTGAAAAACTAATAAAACTATTGATTAAAATTAATAAACATCTTCTGATTCCTTTGGCAGAGTCTACTTCCTGGCACAAAGCGGATAAGCTTACGTTGATTAAAAGTCCAGACTGCACTATTTAAGCCTGGAACCCACAATCTATATACCAAATCCCTATATTTAGGTCTGAAAAAAGGTTGCCTGAAAAAGAATATAAAAGTTCTTAAAATGAATTGAAAGAAAAAAAGGATTAGAAAGAGTATAGGTACAGCTTTTAAAGCCTAAAATCTATAAAGTTATAAAGGTTTTTAGAAATTGCTGTTTTAAAATAGGCAACTATCTGACCAGTTAGATAGCTGCCTATTTTAGACAGTTTCTGTCAGGAACTACTTGACACAGTAGACATGTTGGTTAGGCAAGGCAACAGTTAAAAGTAGTCTTCTTTTAATTATAAGACTAATTCTTAGGGATTCCTAATCGTCCTAAAGATTTTAAGTGCTAATATATATTTTAGAAAAAAGGGGTCAGCTTTATACTGATATAAGAACCTGGATTGGAAGCCCGATGAATCAAGAACAGAACTAGTATCAGAATATAAGCTGGCGACCGCATGCCACAGGTATTGTACAACATTTAGCTTAGCTTTAAGAATTTTAATCAGATTTTTTTACTATTTATTTATAGGGTTTTCCACCTGTATTTTAGAAAACTTATAAAAGCCAGTCTATTTTTTTATAACAGGGTCAGCTGCTTTGCTTTTTTATAAATTATTTAAAATATAGTCTAGGTAGGCTATTATAATATATATTTTTTTAGCTTTTATTCCAGTTATTAGCTTCTACAGTTAACAATTAATAAATTATAAATATATAGTAGATAGTATAAGTATAAATACTGTTTAATGTGTGATCTATAAATAAATTAATATATGTATTAGTTTTTTTTACTGCTGCAGTGCTGGAGTCAAGGTCTTTTAAATCTATTTATAAATATCTTTTATAGAGCTGATTTTAAGAATACTTCCAAACTTTATAATATGTTCCAGTAAATATAAATATTTATAAATTCTTTAAGTAGAAATCTGAACTTTTCTTTTATATAAATGTTTTTTTCTATTAGAGTGGATTTTGGTTGAAAAACAGGTTAAAAACCAAGCTCTTAAAATCTGTATTTGAATATATATTCTATTGTATAGTTATGTTTTCAAACTGTAATTCCAATTGAATTAAACTTTTATTTATATTTTACATTTTAAATACAGTCCAATACAACTATATAGTATTAAATACATGACTAATCAGTTTCAGGCCATTTTTATTAGTTAACTTTTAACCGTTGAGTAATATACTGTATTGGTAGTGTATTAGGTAAGTAAAATATATATATAATATATGTATTATATTTAATAATATAAATTACAATATATTAAATTATATAAAGATTTATATAGTATTTTATCTTTATACCTGTGTCTGTATTTTTTAACCGTATTGCTTAAAACGGTTAACCGTCAGGTTAAAAAAATCCACTCTATTTTCTATAGTTGATATATAGCCCTTTATAATTAAATCCAGAAAGTTACCCCTAGTTTAGTTTTATATTTTATATCCTACTATTACCTACTGTTATGGGACCAAGGCCCTATTATAGAGCTCGGCTTCAGGCACCAGTTGGCACCTGAGGCCTCGCACACTAAGTACTAAACTAGCACTAGCTTAGTATATATATAAAGAAATTTTGTACAAACAGACAAAATAGCTCTTCAGCTATTTTTTTTTATTCTAAGGTATATTTTAATTAGCACAATCTATCTGTTCTGTAATATTAAAAATAGCTTATTAAAAAGCCCTAGACGGAGCCCGACTAGGCATATAAATAAAATAAAATAAAACTAAAAGAATTATTAGAATAATAGAATAAATAGACTAGAAAGGACTGCGGCCGACTGCAGTATCCGCAGCTATATATAATAATATACAACTTTTTTTACAGAAGCTAATCAGCCTCTGTATAGAAATAATAAAATAGAAACTAGCTTTTAAAAAGCAGATAAATAAATTATAAAGTTATAATACAACTCTTACTGTTAATAGTAAACCAAAGGAAAACCCCCTATAGCAACTATATAAGCTAAACTACAGACCCCACCCTTAGCACTCTAATATAAAACTGTTTAATAGAAAAAATAAAAACAATTATAAACTATTTAAATTAAATATATATATAAAACTTATGATTAACAGAAATTGCTACTTTACCAGATTAGAATAAGTTTTTTATATTTATAGTTAACTATACAGACAGATAGTACAGCAAATACTTTTTTAGATTAAATCTTAAAATACTAAAATAATACAACTTAAAAATATACTTATAGTAATAGATAAAATGTTTAGAGATCCTAATATATAATAAAAAGCCCTAAACCGGATAAATATAATAAAATAGAAAAAAATAGAACTAGAAGAATTTTTAAACAACTTTAACAAAACTCTGCTATAAACAGAGGGGTATAATTAGTCAGATAAATAAAAAAAACTATATTAAATACTGTAGTAAACTAAAAACTTATTAAAAAATTAGTTGGAATTTTTTAAAAGTCTATATATAAAGATTATTACAACTAACTGCGCTGTATAAATCATAATCTTAATAAAGTATTTTTTCTTTTTAAAAAAAGCTATATTAAAACTATATCAGTATAATGCAAACCAAGCTTTAAACTAATAAAGTAGAAATCTATTTAAATAGCTGTTGTATAGTAAGAAAAATACTACTTCTGTATAACTACCAACAACCTCTAAAAATAGGCTTAATAGGTAATGCCCAGTAAAATACAGAAAAGATATAAAGCAGGTTGCTGCTTTTATTATAAGCAAAACAGATATCTTATCTACTAATACCTTTTAAAACCTGCTGTATAACTAATAAGTATAGCTGCTGCTATGCCCGCCCCTTAGTAATAAAAAAAATAGTACACCTTTTTAAATAAAGACTCTAATTTAAGAAAAAAAAAAGTCTAGTATAAAGTTATATATTTAAATAAAAATCACTGGATAAAACTAAAAGAAAGTAAAAAAATTTTTAAAAAAAATATATAGTTATATACTTTTTTTTAGTAGAGGCTATTTTAGATCTTACTACAACTACCTATACTTTTATTAACTTAGAATACCTAATCTATAGTATTATAAATAAAATATTTGCTAAAGTAAATAGCCTGTTAACTATTAGTATTAATCTAAGACTGGTATAAAGAATCTTAGGTAATAAGATGCTAATCCACTCCATTATACAGATAAGAATAGATATAGGATCCTATACTAAAAAAAAAGCATACTTTTATATAATACCTAATAATCTTAGATATAACTTAATCCTAAGAAAAAGCTGGCTGTCCTATTATAATAGTATTTTAAAACCGGGCTAAGAATAATTATTTCTATATACAACTAAAATAAGATTAAAGGACCTACTATATTTATAATATACAAATCTAAAACTTCAGCTAATTATAAGAACAGGATTTAAAGACTATTTATAAAAAAGATCTAAAAGAAGTATAAAAGTATTTACAGTCTTACT